TTTCTGCCGCTGCGCAGGAATTGCTTGCTGTTGGTGTCGTCCAGAGCTGTATCGATCGAGTTGACCGGTCCCATCGATGTTGTTGCCGAAAGAGTAGTAGATGTAGTGTTCGTAGCTGCGTTGACGATGCTGATTGCAATGACAGCAAGAAGAACAAAAGCTACGCCCATGCTAACAATCCTCTTCCTTTTGTTCTTCTTGGTACTTGGGGTTGTTGAGTTGCGGACTGGGGGCAAAATGCGAATTGAATCTTTCAGTTCGAAAGGGAACAGAGAGAACACTCCACTGATTCGACTACGCACGGGGTAACGTAGAGTGTTTCGCTTATATATACTGTATGTAACATACATGATGATACACGAAGTCAAGCAACGACAGGATAATTTCAGGATGTGGTTCTACACGTAAAAAGGCCAAAGTTTAGTACCCGTACAAATAATGAGAAAATATCATAAACATCAATTCGTGGGGTTGCACACAAAAAGTTTGATCGCACATAAAATACGATGTGGGCACATACACAAGTAGATTTATACACAGCAGCTTGGGTGTTCACACTGAACACATGATAATCACCCATTATGCCGTACGTGCACGAATCGGTTTTATAAGCCAATCGTAGGCGCTAATCGTAGTCCATATTGTCCAATCAAACGATAGAAATGAGCAAATTCCTCGCTCATTGGCGAACAAGACCGACAGAGCACACCCGACCTCATCTATACCTCTTGTCCCTGCGTACTACATGCTATGCATCTGCTGTGGCTTGCCATCGCAGAAAATTCTCCACCCAACGACGCCGTGGCGTTCCAAAAAAACGTTTAAAGCGTATCGTGTTACCAAATCTAATGTTGTCCCGTGTACAATATGCATGGATACATGTATCCTGAACCCTACAAAGAAGTTTTACCGTCTTATGAATTGGGCATTACCGTCAAGCTAGCTCATGCATTCTCATGGAAAATGTCAGTGGTGAGGACGGAGACTAGAGACGATTATATAGACCCATTAATTCTTTCATTCTACATTTAGATGCTACGCTCAAACTCAATCAAGTCGATTATCCAGTGATTGTCTGTGGAATATCAGCTTAATGCAGAGGCTTTCATTTAATGGTCCTATTTGTCAGTTCACAAAGAACTGAGTATCAATATTTAGAGTGCGTACGAGCATTACGCGATGTGTTCATACGCATGACGGGGAAAGCTTTACTTGTTAGCACTGGGATGGACGATGCTGAAGAAGCCCAGTTCAGCGCGTTCGAACGGGTATTTGGAGAAGCCAACAAGTATATCTACCTAATCTGCTTCTATCATCTTGTTGCTAAAGTTGAGAAAAAACGAAAGGAATGTCAGAAGAAACAAAGGTTCGTGTATTTCGAGGCATCTATAATATTCGTTTGTGGTAAAGTGCGATCGAAATCTCACGAGAAGAGGAACATCGGCTGCCAGATCACGAGAAAGAGACGGACCAGGCGACAGAAATTCCACTCTAGGCCAAGACATCGAGACGATTTCCCAAGATCTGACGTGCGACAACATCGGTTAGTGATGGGGACTACGGATGACCCAAGATCGACTGCAGATGACCCAAGATCAACCCGACGGAATGATGGATGGCGACCCACCCATATCATATCGTGAGAAGGCCGGATCAAGGGAGTTCATGGGGCGAGGTCACTAACGATCGACGATCCTGAACGATAGCGGACCGGCGGACCAAGATCGAAAGAGAACGGCTGAGCTCGGAGCCATATCAATCACCGATCAAGACATGCGAGAGATGCGTAACCCCAGATCAAGACAAGATGGCGATCCGGAGCTCTGGGAAGAAGGCGGGATAGAATCACCGGGAGGCCGTCGGCATGCGCTCCAAGGCGAGCGCCAGCTATGGAGATCACCGCACGACGACCGAGGGTTGTATCTTTCCGTCGTACTCCTGTCCTATGACTGCACAAGCAGCCCACCGGTTCGCGTGTGGAATAATCACAAATGGCTTTTGGATGTCCGGATGTCTCTGCATTGGAGTCGCACGATTTTCATTTTAAGCAGTTCGAATGATTCATGAGCTCGTGAGAGGTCTCGTCCCTGACGTATCCGATCTTCTAAAAAATCATAAAGAACTGCTGCCACTACCGGAAAGTCTTCAATGAACTTATGGTAGTAATTCAGACTTCCAAGAAACGATAGCACACCTTTGTGATATTTGGGGAACGGTAGATCCATAACACCCTTCGCAACTTTTGGGGTCGCTCGGATACCTTCTGCACTAATATCATGTGACCGATAGGGGATTGGTCGCTTTCCAAACTCGCTCTTTGGTAAGCTCACCGATATATTCCAGTAACGTAAGTGATAGAGCAAAGTGTTCAGATCCTCACAAAGTTGATCCCATGTTTTCACACCATGAGCAATGTCATCAATGTAAGAACTGCGTCCTAGCACTGGGCAAATATGTGAAGGCATGGGAATGTTCCTTTGGAAAACAGTATGGAATCTGCGAGCCCATTTACTTCGTCTCTTGGACCTCCACTTTCTGATTCTTGATTGTCTGTAGGGTCCAAACCTAGAAAATCCAAGACATCTTGATCGACTTCTGCTTCTTCTTCCGGAGGCAGGCTCACAAATCCCTATAGACAATTGTTGATAACGGGCGGGTATATCAGTGGCGCATTCTTGAGTCCGAATGGCATGCAAGTCCATTGAAAATGTCCAAACGGACAGACAAACGCCGATATTAACTTTGCTCTTTCGGGCACCTTGACCGTCAAAAGCCGCTCGCCATGTCCAAACTCATAAACTATATGACATCCTCAAAATCAACCAGCAGATCATCTATCAACGGTAGAGGATAATTGGACAACTTAATGAATACATTGACAATTCGGTAGTCGACACACATTCGAATATCCACACCATTTTTCTTGAGGACAACCACAATGGGTGATGCGCATGGTGATTCTGAGTGCTCGATAAGTCGGGTTTCCAAAAGTTTCTCCAGTAGTTCATACACTTTGAACGATAAGTGTGGTGCAACAGATCGGAGACGTTGAGCGACAGGGTTCGCCTCTACAACATCCATATCACAGGTGACACGTCGCGCCGGAGCTGGAACCATATTTCCATTTCCCAGAAAGATGGCTCGATGATACTTCAGGATCACTCGCAATCTGAGCGCGTCTTCTGGGGTGCTCGTCCCAGATTCCCCAACGTCAACCGAATCAATATCACACTTCGGAGACAATTCTTCGATATCCGGAAGTAACGCGAGTAGTTCCCGGAGTTGTGATAACGTTTCGCTCCCTTCATGAATATAGACTGCGGGTTCGAGGTCCAATTCTTCTGCACTTATTCGCATGACACGCTCGTACTCTAGCTCAACCTGCTGAACTGGAGTATAAACCATCACCGACACCGGCAAGTCCGAAAAGACATCATCCTGATTCCACTTTTGGAATGTCCTCCAAGTTAACTTCTGGAAAACCATCGTCAACACAAATCGAGTCGAAAAACTCATCTTCGTCCGAGTCCTCGTCATCGGGCTCTTTCTCAAGATCACCTATTGGGACGTCCGTTGTTTCATCTTCCACTTCCGAAATCTCGGTCACTTCAGACATTGTCATAGTCACGCCTGGTGTCCTCGTTGACAACCGCTCGTTTACCTCAGGTGTATCATCATACACTTCACTTGGGACTATCTGAAGGTCGATCACTCTTGCTTCCTCGCAACCGGGCGATGGACGAACCATCATCTTAGTTGACCACGGGTAATTCGGTGTTGGAGCGGACGATGGCTCCATCTTCTGAAGGTCGTCCAGACGTTGTGACTCTCGAGCCTGGGCTTTGGCAGATATAGTATTCTCATAAATGAGAGTCTGTCATTCCCTATATCTTCGAGTGCCAACGCGCACATAACGTCCCGCTCTCGGAAAGAAACAATTCTCGACCACTTGGGCCACTTCGGTCCGCCAGTCGATAGTGGCAATGCGGTCGGAAACGTTGACTACCTTGATAGCGGCTGGAACTTTCCAAGCGTACAATATCTGAGTGACCCAATCATCTCCACGTCCAGCCCATACCGTCGACGGTCGCAACAACTTTCGGAACGCGGGCAGTCGGATCGTCCGGTATTCTCCAGGTTGAAGATACATAGTATACGTTGGACGAATTCCGTGAGCCATACCCTGCTTAACGTGGGATAATCCTCTTCCTGAAAGCAAAACTGTCTCTTCATCCGGAAGTTGAACTAGCCCTTCCTTGACGCACAACCGTACTCCAGCTGAGAACATAAAGTTCACTCCAAGCAATACATCCAAACCTCCATCAATATTGGCGACCCAGACATCAACGACATGGTCCCAAGGTTGTTTTTCACTACGGCACTTGCAGTAATGCTGGTCGGCACACCTCCAAGCCCGGACACTGAAATCTGTTTGCCAAACTTGAGCTTGGGTTTTAGCCTACGCGCAAGGCCTAAGCTCACCATACTCACTGACGCTCCGGAATCCAAGAGTATGTCCGTCCGAAAGTTATTCACCGTTCCATGTACCATGCGATTTTCCTATTCTCTTCTTGCTCATGATCATGCCACCATCCATAGCGTTCACCTCGTTTCAGGCGAAATTCTGGACGCATCCGAACCATCTGAAAGTTTGCTCTGAGAGTCATCCAAAACGATCCTTCCGCAAGGAGACCTTCATCAAATACATTTATGGATTGTTGATTATCTTGATGTTGCCTTCTCAACTCTGGCCCAACAGAAGCTAACACACATAATTTTGGGGGTGTCTTGGGCCCGTCGCATACTGGATCCCCATCCAGCGAGCTTAGTCGTTTAACGGCTTCGGCTGAGAATCCGCGTGTCCGTCCAAAAGTTGATTGAGAAGGTGATCAGGAATATCAGTCAGGCTTCCTTGCTTTGCGAGATTCTTGAGTGCTTGCAGGGTTTTCAGTCCGCAACATTCGCCATCATGAAATTTGTAACAGAACGGACAAGGGTCAGCCTTGCCATACTTAGCAGGGTGTCCCTTCTTGCGACATCGATTGCATTCCATATCCGCCTAACAGAATTCCGTGGAGTGCGATCCCTCGCCACAGTTATCGCAATGGCGCGTCTGTTGCGGTCTTCCGAAGTCTGTCTTTGGTGGCGATCTATACTCAGAGTTCGGAGGCCTCCATCCGGAATTCTCCAAAATCCGGTAGACTTTTGAGATGACATCTTGTTTCCGATGCATCATGTTTCCGTCAAGGATATCTCCAGACAAACAATCGACGTCCTTGTCGGAAACAGATTCTCCAAATGACACTTTCTGATGCGTAGCTTGATCAAACAGAACCTGTTGCTCATGGTCACTCGCACATACCTCGTCTTCGTTCACGTTGTATGCCCGGTTGTGGTTCTTCTGGCGTTGCCGAATTCCAAATGCACCATCAGCCTTTCTATAGTTACTCTTCAGGGGGTGCGCTTCTGGATCGTCACTCCACCAGATTTCTTCATGCTGTTTCAGGATATGTTCCA